ATTTGGTTAGCCTACTTTTGGATCCTCTAGAGACATGTGATTTTATCATCAATAGGGAGAACTCCTCTGGTGGAGAGTAGACTGGAGCAGTTAGAGGTTAAGTGACCTGCCTATGATTATATAGTCAGTAAGTGTTAATCAGTCAATCATTCTAAGTCCTTCTGACTCCAGATCAAGCTCTACCTATCTGTCTATCAGACCTACCATTCCATGCTGGTTCTCTTTCTAAAAGTAATGAAACAAAATTTCTTCTAAAAGTTGTTTTATTTTTAACATTCTTTCCTTTTTAAATTTTGAGTTCTAAATTCTCTCCCTCCATCCATTGAGAAGGCAAGCAATATGATATCAATCATATATGTGAAATAATGCAAAATATATTTCCATATTAGCCATGTTACAAAAACAAAAAAGCAAGAAAAATAAAGTGAAAAAAGTCTGTTTTCATCTTTACTCAGAGTTCATCGACTCTAGAGGTAGGTAGTGTTTTTCATCATGAGTTCTTTGGAATTGTGTTGGATCATTGCCCTAATCAGAGTAGTTAAGTCTTTCGTAGTTGATCATCATTACAGTATTACTATTACTGTGCGCCATGTTCTCCTGGTCCTGCTTGCTTCACTTTGCATCAGTTCATATAAGTCTTGTCAGGTTTTTCTGAAGCCATCATGCTCATCATTTCTTAAAGCGCAGTAGTATGCCATCATAATTATTTACCTTAACTTGTTCAACCATTCCCTAATAGATGGGCATCTCCTCAATTTCTAATTCTTTGCCACCACAAAAAGAGCTATTATTAATAACTATGTGCAAATAGGTCCTTTTCCCTTTTGGTCACTGTGGCATACAGACCAAGTAGTGGTATTGCTTGGTTAAAGGGTATTCACAGTTTTATAGGCCTTTGAGTATAGTTCCAGTATGTGCTCCAGAATGTCTGGGACCAGTTCATAACTCCACCACTAGTGCATTAGTTCCCCTGTCTTTCCACATCCCCTCCAACATTTTCTTCTGTTTATCTTTCTCTTTTTATCCTGTAAAATCTGTTTCTCTTCTGACTACTGCCTCCCTTAGACTGCCCTCCCTTTTATCATACACACCCCTTTTTTTCCCCTTCCCTTCGTACTTCCCTGTTGGGTAAGATAGATTTCTATACCCAATTATGTATCCATATATATGGATGAATACATACATACATGCAAAACACACATATATGTATATTCATGTGCACATGCGTGCACACACAGACATATATTCCTCCCTCTTTAAAGCAGTTCAGTTAAGAGTAAGGTTCAAGCATTGCCTACCCTACCCCATCTTACCCTCTTCCTTGCTTACCTCTTTCTTAAAATGTGATGTCTAGGCTCTTTCTCTGGTCATGATTTTCAGGTAGTCCAGTAATTCTTAGATTCTCTCTCCTTAATCTATTTCCAGGCCATTGTTTTTCCACAGTGTGATACTTCACATTTTCTATTTTTTCATTCTTTTAACTTTGTTTTATTGTTTCTTGATGTCTCATGGAGTCATTAGCTTCCACTTCTCAATTCTAATTTTTTTTTTTTTGCTTTTTGGTGAGGCAGTTGGGGTTAAGTGACTTGCCCAGGGTCACACAGCTAGCAAGTGTCTGAGGATAGATTTGAACTCAGGTCCTCCTGATTCCAAGACCAGAGCTCTATCCACTGTGCCACCTAGCTGCCCCTCAATTCTAATTTTTAAGGAATTATTTTCTTCAGTGATCTCTTGTATCTCTTTTTTCGTTTGGTCAATTCTGCTTTTTTAAGGAGTTCTTTTCATCATTGAAGTTTTGTATCTCTTTTACCATTTGGCCAGTTCTGTTTTTTAAGGTGTTATTTTCTTCAGTACTTTTATATGCCTCTTTTACCAAACTGGTAATTGTCTTTTTATAATTTTCTTGCATCACTCTCATTTCTTTTCCTATTTTTTCCTCAGTTACTCTTTTTTTTGAATTTTAAAATCATTTTTTTTAGCTATTCCAGTAATTCTTGTTGAGTTTATGTACAGTTCACATTTTTTCTTTGAGGCTTTGCTCATAGTTATTTTGACATTGTTGTTATTTTTTTTTCTTTTTGCTAGGCAGTCAGGGCTAAGTGACTTGCCCAGGGTCACACACCTAGTAAGTGTCGTTTGTTGTGTGTCTGAGACCATATTTGAACTCAGGTCCTCCTGACTCCAAGGCCAGAGCTGTATGCATTGTGCCACCTAGCTCTAGCCCCTGTCATCTTCTTGATCTTCCCTTTCACCTTTCATGCTAGATCTTTACGGTTAGGTTCCTTTGTTGTTGTTATTTGCTCACTTTCCCAGCCTTTTTCTTGACATTGAACTTTATGTTAAAGCTGGGTTCTGTTCCTGGGGCAGGGGAGGGAGGGGTTTGGTGGGAGGGAGATACTATCCCAAGCTTCAGGCTTTTTTGTTCTGCTGCTTTCCAAGCCAGTTCTGGGGATTTGGAAGTTTTTGCTGCTTCCAAGGTGGTGTGATCTGGAGAGAGGGGTGGTCAGGGCTCTCCTCATCTACGGTCTGGGCCTTCCCCAGGAAGGGCCCCTGATCCCGTGCAACCACAAGCACCAATGCTCCTTTGGGACTGAAAGTGCCCGTCTCCACCCTCAAATTGTGAGGACCCAGAAGTGAGTAGGGCAGTGAAATTGCCCGCCTGCACCCAGTGCTAGCCCAGAGGTCCACTGTAATCTCTCTTTGGCCAGCTGCCAGATCCCCTTGCCAGCTCAGCTGAGTCCTGCCGCTGCTGCCCTCGCTACAACGTTGCTACCACCTGGGCTTCAGGCCAGCCTCCACCTGGGTTGCAGACCTTTCCTTCCAACCTCTTATGTTGTCTGGAGCTAGAAAAGTGCCTCGCCCTAATCTTTTGTTGGCTCTGCTGCTCCAGAATTTGATTGAAGCTTTATTTTTAAATTATTTGGAGAGAAATGTTGGGGGAACTTGGCTCCCTTTAGTGTTTCTGTAGGGTCATGACCCACAGTTTAAGAAGTGCTGAAGGGGTCACCAGGGGAAGAAGTTTAAGAAGCCCTACGTCTGGTCCACCATCTTGGGTCCTGAGGAAACATGTTTTAAAAATATTTAGTAATTAGGGGCAGCTAAGTGGTGCAGTGGGTAGAGCACCGCCCCTGAAGTCAGGAGGACCTGAGTTCAAATTCGGCTTCAGACCAAACACTTAACACTTACTAGCTATGTGACCCTGGGCAAGTCACTTAACCCCAACTGCCTTAAAAAAAAAAAAAAAGGAAAAAAAATATTCAGTAATTCTTACTCCTAACTCATTCAAACAGTAATCGTCTGAACTAATGAAGCTTGTTATATGAAGTCCACTTACTTAAGTTCGTATTTTGGCCCTGACACTTCTCACCTATGTGACCATAAGGAAGTTAGTTTCATTACTTTGAACTTCAGTGTCCTTACCTTTAAAATATGGATAGAAATAAACCCTCTCCTGTTTTGCAGGGTTATTCTGAGGGACGCTTTTCAGTAAACTTTCAAGTGCTTAAGAATGAGTTATTATTGTTACTACATTGAGTTGCTCTTGACTTGCTATGTCAGAATTATTAACTTCATAACAAAACCAAATTTAAGTGTTTATATAAAAGTTTAAAAAAATTAAATAACTTATTATATTCCTCACATGAAATCACATTACTAAAGTAAAAATAATTAGTATCTAAAAAGCTTGGGACTCATGACAAGGTTGATAGATGAATGTGAAACTGATAGAGGATATGTCAGTGTTATTATGACAATATTTGCCTTGACAGAAATAGTAAAGAAATAGTGTTGGCCTTTTAGGAAATACTTCCTGAGGTCTATTGTGACTGTGTGACCTTAGGCAAGTCACTTGGCTTCTGTAGGCCTCAGTTTCCAAATGTGTAAAATAAGGGAGTTGAACTAGATGACTTCCAAGGTCTGTCTCTTCCAGCTCTAGATCAGAGCCTGTGATCCCAGAGATGGTAAGGTCCATAATGGCTCTGTAAAAACATATTAGTACTTAACCTCATTGAATTTAAGAAATAATAATAATAATAAAAATGAATCCAACATCACAGTCCAAAAGCATACAGCATATTGACATTATTAGCTTTTTTTTCCTGAAATATTGTCCAACTTCTTTGTAGCCCCAATATTTATAGCACAGTACCTGAGAAGGTAAGTTTGGATAGGATGAGAAAAACTTCACATTGTAGCACATGGTACACACTTAATGCTTATTGACTAGTCAGTCACAAATGCTTCCAAAAAGTCATCTGCAGTATATTCAGATTGTTAGCCCTTCCCTGGGGCTTCCTCTTAGACAATGCCAGCGGCATGTAGGTTCTGGAAGGTCCTACCTGCCATTCCAGAAAGGGCCCAGTGATAACTGTGGCTGTTGCCCACTGAGCAGCCCAATTAAGAATAGAGAGGCTTATCCCCAGCTTGGTCCATAGGCAGGTGTGGGTATGAGTTTGAATTCTCAGGACTCAGCAGCTCACAGAGCCTGTTCGGTCATGGAGGAGTGTCAGCCACATTGGTAAAGGGACCACCCACACCAACAAAATCTTCAAGCCCTTAAATTATTCAGTCATTTTCAAACTGATGTTCCAGTTGAAAATACTTAATTGCTGACTGTTTTCCTTTCCTGTGAAAGGTTCATGAATTTTGCACCTACTCCCCCCCTCCTTTTTTTTTTCCTCCTAATTAAATCAAGCGCTTTGTTGTTGAGAGAGAAATCCATGGTCTAACTTCTGGCAAACAGCTGTCATTGTTAGGCTGGGAAATAAAGAAGAGCCAGCTCTACACACTAAACCTTGCATTTGAAACTGCAAAAACGCAGAGAGAACAGTTGGCCTATTTATTTTCACCCCTGGTATACAGTTATTGAAACCAATAAAATGGAGAGTTGTGATGTGATATGTGTGTGCATGAGGGATGGAGAGGGGAAGGTGAGGAGTAATAGACCCAAAGGCAATGTGGAAATTCATTTGCTTTCTCTTTTTTCTCACCCCTCCCAGTCCACTCTCACCTTCTTCACTGGCCGAGCTCCTCAACCTTCTGGACAGCAAAGTCATCTCTCTGCCCGCAGCTAAACAAGTGAGTCGGAACTTACCCAGGCTACTATTTACTCTAAAATCATGGTAAATGTTTATGAAACGCCATCATAAAGTGGGTTTGGTAATTGAGGTATTAAGTGCTTCTAAGGGGTCTTTTTTATGCTGAAGGATGGAAAAATTCATTGGTTAGTAAGGATAAAAAGCCATTTCCATGCACAGGTAATTTGCTCCCCTCTTTGTTAATTGGGGAAGACTTTAATTGCTTGACATTATAGGAATGTTTACCCCAAATGTGTGTTTATGGAAGAGGAGAAAGCACAGCAGGGCATGCAGTTCCTATTAAAGGGAAGTACAGATGCCACCACTAGTGTCCTGGGAGGCCAGTGACAGACTTCACTGCTCCCCTGACCTGTCTGATACTCCACTTGATAACCTCCCCAGCATCCCAGCCTCCTCCTGCAGGGGCATTTGTCTTTGTCAGGTGGCTGCCCTGTGAAAGTCAGCCCTCCCTGCAATAAAGGGTGAGGCCCGACCACTAGGGAGAAAGCCAGAATGCGGGGCAGCCGAGCTGGTAGCCTTCCTGGGCAGGGCAGAGATTCCCTGGCATTCAGAATCCCCCACCACCTCAGTGAGATCCCCCTGGGATCCCCTGGGAATGGGATGAAGACCACAGAGGCCGTATGGAGGCAGCTGCCCCTTTCCTGGCTTCAAACTCCCCTGTTTCCAGTGTTTCAGTCGGAAGCCTAATGTTATTTTAATGGAGCTTTTTGCATTTAACATTTATATGCGCCAGTGATTGGAACAGGTTACAAAGCAAAGTGATGCTCTAGAAAGGCTTCTTCCTCCTTTTGACTAATTACTAGCAACCATGGAGCGTGCTCCGTCCTCTGCATTGTGCAGTTGGAGACGCAGGCTAATAAAGGCCGAGTGTACCCACCGCCGAGTGATGCTGTCGAGCGACAGGGATCGGGCCACATTTAGAAAAGTATTTTGGCCGCCTGGATGTCAGAAGAATAACAAATGTTTATATCCATTCTCAGCAGTAGGGAGAGATATTAGATGGCCCGGGGGGCAGCAGAAGCTATATATATATATACACAAGAGCAGATGAATTGTAGCATTAGAGGAGGAGGAGGAAGAAATCCCCCCCACCCCAAAATCTAACAGTCCCCGGGGAGACACTTGCAACAAGAAGTGATGGAAGACTCTGACAGCCTGAGTTTCAACAGATGTGCAGATAGAGACATTGTTGGATTGCATCCGCTTCCTCAATTTTTAAACAAGTTGGGAGTGATTTCTGAGGTTACACGAAAGTGCCGAAACCACAGTGACTAAAAACCCCCGATGGGAGGGCGTCAGGAGTCTGGGGCTGCCCCGGGAAGTCTACCTCCCTATCACTGTAACATCGGGGTGCCGTCTGAGCCCGTGGCATTGTGCAGCAGCACTGGAAAGCCTTGGTCATGCCCATGTCAGCAAGTTAGCAGTCGTGCCTTGGACAGGAAGGCTTGGAAGCTGGTTCAGAGCCTCCTGATCAAAGCCCCAGACTGACCCCTGACTTTTCTCTTTCTTTGTCTCTCTGTCTCTGTCTCTCCCTCCCCCTCCATCCCCCCTTTCCCCATCCCTCCTCCTTCTCTCCCTCTCTCTTGGTTTCCCACTCCCTCCTCCTTTCCTATCTCTGTCTTCCCTTCTCTCTTTCCTCCCTTCCTCCCCCCTCCTTCTCTCCCTCTCTCTCCTCTCCCTCCACACCTCCCTCTCTGTCTCTCCCTCTCTCTGTTTTCCCCTCTCTCTCTCTCTCTCTCCTCTCTCCCTCTCTCCCTCTCTCCCTCCCTCCTTCCCTCCCATCCCCGGTCTGTCACTCTCCAGGCACTTGCTGGATTTTGATCCTTCTACCTGCACAGCCCCCCTCCTTCTCTCCACTCCCATGGCCAGAGCTCCAGTTCAGGCTCTCATCTCCTCTTGCCTGGACTAACACAATGTCCTCCCTCCTTCCACTATCTCTCCTCTGTGCTCTATCCTCCACACAGCTGCCAAATCAATATCCCTAGGACAAAGGGTTTCCCATCTCACTCTCCTACTCAGAGAGCTTTGAGGGCTCTCAAATTGCTTCTAGAAAAGAAATATAGTAATAACTGACACATAAAGAACTTTAAATTTTTTCACAGCATTTTATATTCGTTACCTCCTGACATCCAAAGCCTTCTCAGCCTGGGTCCCACTTTCCTTTCCAGGCGTTTCCCCTTATGTCCCTTCACCACTCTGTTTCAGCCATACTGGCCCAAACTCTCCCTGTGGTCTCCTGCCTCTGTGCATTTGCTAAAGCTGAACCCTGGGCCTGTGATGCATTTCTTTACCTTCCCCTATTCCTAGCTACCTTTAAGGCCTGGTTCAGGTACCACCGCCTGCAGGACTTCTTGATCTACCTTTTTCAAGCCTTTCACCTCCTCCGAATTATCTTGTTTTTCCTTATCTGTGTATATGTTTGCTCTCCATAGTTGCATGTAGGCGTGTGTGTGTGTGTGTGTGTGTGTGTGTGTGTGTGTGTGTGTGTGTCTTCATCTTCATCCCTGGCTCCCGTCTTTTTTTTCACCATCCCTGAGATTTCATCGATGTGAGGAGCTCCCAGTGAGCAGCTTCCTCTCCCAGCAGCTTCTCCACAGCAGACTTTTCTGAGGCACAGGTTGCAAGCTCTTACCCAGGGTCACCCAGCCACTATGGGTCACCAGTGGGAGTCAAGCCCAGGTCTCTGTCTTCCCTCTCACTTGGCATTCGTAGACACTTAAGAAACAGTTGTTAAATTGAGTAGCTGAAGAATTCTAGATTAGGGGCAAGAGATCTAGGTTTGAATCCCAGCTCTTGGTACTTACCTGTCTAAACTTGAACAATCTCTTCCTTTCTGGGACTCTGTTGCCATTGCTGGGATGAGGAGTCAAAGTGATCTCTAAGGACCTTTCCAGCTCTGAATCACCATGAGGCCTGGAAGCGGCAAGGGTGATGGGCTATTTAGGTAATTCCTTCCTGGGGAGCGTGGCTTTCAAGTCCTAAAAGCTTAAGGAAAAGAGGTATATGCAGACCCTGCCATGCTTTCAGGAAAGTTTTCTGAGTCCCCCTTACCTCTTCTTTTGTCCTTATTAAGCAGGCTCAGCTGTTCCCTTCCCCTCCCATCATGGCCAGCTGGGTTTTCCATACCCATTTGCCTAGGAAAACGTCTCTGACTTCTCTTTTACTAGTCTTAATTATAACTGCCATTGTCTTGATAACACCATCCTCTAGGGACCTCACGCCTGAGGAGCAGCGTAAGTATGTAAACATATTAGGGAAGTGAGCTGCCTTTCTGGGAGGCAAGTAGGGATAGGTACAGCTAAGGATTTCCATTTTTCAAGTGGAAATAGAGAGACAGAGAGATAAAGCCGTGTCCTGGCCAGCGACTGAGTGACTGACCTTGGGCAAAAGCATGATGATTATCAGTCTTATTCTCTAATGACCAGACCAGGCCTGTTGAGTAGCATGTGACAGTCCCCATCTTTTCAGAACCCAGCTTTGGATCTAGCCCATGCCAGGTTACAAATAGCAGGTTCCCAAGACAGCAGGGGCAGAATTAACCTGCTAATAAAAGCCAGATGATTTCAGAGCCCTATAACTCTTAGGCCACGAACATTTTCTAGACTTCTGGCCAAATTAATGCTTAAAAGGAGATAGGAGCACATGCGTGCCCTCTCCTTGTGCATGCCTAGAAGTAGATACACATAATGTACTGTGTGTGTCCCCAGAGTCTGCCCACCTCAGGCAAATGTGGCTGGGGAGTCGGTGTTGAATCGGGATCCTGGATCAAGAGAGAGAAAACATGTTTCAGTCTCCAGCTCCCACACTTAACCTGCTTCCCACCACCATCCCTTTTGGCATACGTTTTTAAAAAGGGTTTTTGGGCAGTAAAATTTTATGTATCTTACTGCATAGAGGTGTGGATCATTTTTAGCCAGTAATGAGTGAGCATCTTCCTCTTCTTACTGGCCCCCCCTTAGAGACTCAAACTGGTATCTGTCAGTTTGGCTCACCCTAAACAGTGCTCCTCTCAAAGAGGGGAAGATATTCCCTCTTTCCAGTTAACGTGCTTCTCTTCCCGGTCTGAGATGCAATAAGCCATTTTAACTGCACAGATGTCTCTCTCCCTTCTGACTCTGAAGACTAATAAGTATCAGACTGATATTGGCAATTGAGCTTCATTCATCCTGCAAATATTTATTAACCTGATATATGCCAGACCCTGTGCTAGGCAATATATCATATATTAACTACAAGGAGGGAAACCAAGCAGCCACCGTCCTCAAAGAGCTTACGTTCTGGGGGGTGGGAAACAACACGGAAGCAAAGGAGTCCATGCAGAATCTTATTAAAGTAAATACAAAGTTATGAGGATGTCGAGAGGGTGATGGTGATGAAAGGGTACATAGAATGCAAGGAATTTGGGAAATACCTCTAGGGTATGGTGGACGTTGTCCTGAGCCATGAAAGCTTAGTGTGGCTCGTAGAGTTTGTGAAGGGAGCTAGTGTGGAATCAGTCTGGAAAGAGGATTTGGAGCCATGTTCTGAAGGCCTTCACATGCCCAACAGAAAAGTTTGTTGGATTTTATCCTAGAGGCAATAGAGAGCCATGGAAATTTCTTGAGACAGAATGTGATGTGAACAGACCTGTAATTTTAGGAGTTTGTACTCTAACATGCACAGAAGGGCTTTGTGAACTTTAAAATGTTTTTGTCGTCATTCTTATCGTTTTCTCTCTATCCTTCAAATCATATACTTATAAAAAACGTAAAAAACCAAAAAACCTTTTGTTGAAGAAACAGTTGGGCAGCAATCAAAAGAGAGTATGTAACTGTCATCCCCCAGGAACTGAAATCTGAGTTTATGCCCCCATCTGTCAGCCCTGGCGCACGCACTGCAGTGTGTGCAGTGCAGAAAAGAGAAGGACCTTTCCAACTCATGTAGCACCCCATCACTTTGGCCATTACTCTTTACCGCTGATTGGGCGCCAGTGCCACACTC